AGGTTGCTGTGAGCTATCACACGATGGCACTCTACCCAGGGTGATAATGGAAGACTCTGTCTGAAAAAAAAGAAAAAACAAACACAAAATGCATAGATTACAAATTCTCATTACTAGATCCTTTGCTAAGGAACCACAGGAAAAGAATATACAAATTCAAAAACATTAAATAAAATTCAAAACTATTAATTAGTTAATTTTAGTAGCTCTTATTTCAACAAATCACTACTGGCCATTTAGAAAACACTGGCCTATCCCCTGTACACTATTATAGAAGGAGAATGTTATTCTATTCTATAAAAACTAACATAACGTTCCCACACACACAAGGACACTGCACTGTCTTTTCCCTTTTCAGCCCCTCCAAAGTAAAGGGCAGCTCTGATATACTGAAATTTGCCTGCACATCAAAAGCTTTAACAGTCTATCTATGTCCACCAGGACATCAGAAATGAGGTGAGCATCCCTGTGATGACGTGGGAAATATGGCTGGAAGGAATTCTTGCACCATTTTACCAGCTAAGGGAAAAAGGCCACTGAAGACCTTGGAGGTGCAATGGGGTCAGCCCCACTGCCGGCCTCCCGTCCTTCTGCTAACTTGCTAGCTTGCTCCATGGCCACCAGAAAACACAAAGAGGAGGTCTTGATGTTCATCAAGAGCTACTGGATTGGTTAATGGCTCAGTAGGTCTTCACATAATACTTGAATTTGAATCCAAGAAGATAAAGGCAAAAAAGAAAACAGCAGTCAACCAACTGACTTTTCAGAACAGCTATTTCCTTGGGTCTTGTGAGAACCCCCAGCTCTAGGTTTTTGTAGTTTGGTGGCTTTCGGTGAAACGCAAGGTCGTGCCAGGTTGATTTAGTGCGTTATTAGCTGTTTATGCAGTACTGAAGCAGCACATGACGTATGAAAAATGACTTTCCGATCTCAGGGAATAAATCAGGACTAGCAAGTGATTCCACTTAATACTTAACTTTAGCCAGTAAAATATTACACCTGTTATTATTCAGGGCAAACACAACCCCTTCCATTTGTTTATTGAGGAAACAATTTATTTGAGGACATTTAATTGCAATAGTGAAGCCTGGCTTGGGGGTTAATCCCAGTTTATCGATACAATTAAAAGCAGTGTGTGCTGTGTCTCCTATTTATTATCTAGGGGTAGAATGTTGACACAGCCTGGGTGTCGAGGTGGGTGTGCTCGAGAGTCTCTCCGTGGTGTCAGGTGTAAGGTGGGGGCCATGTCATGAACACAGCAAACAAGCCTGCTCTGTGTCAGCGTTTGCATAATCTAATTGGGGAAAGGCTTCTAATTTGATTTTACTTGGAGCAATATGGGTTCAAATTGTTATATAGATCTAGCACTGTTTGGTTTCTTGTCAATGATTCATGGTATTTTAATGCCCGAGAAGCAAATACTAAAGCTCCTCCTGCACATTTGGGAGCACTGCACAATTACCATGGCCTGAGTTATCCACCCCTCTGTCCTTCCCCAACTGCTGGATCTCTGTCTTCTCATATCTCTGGTTTTACTAGCTCTGGTCTAGGTCAATCCCTGATGTCTGCCCCTCCCAGCTTGTTGGGGCCTGTTTCTCTCACACACGCAGGCGAGATGCTCTGAGTGAGGACCGTGAAGGCTGGAGGCTGCGGCCACTCTGCCCCTTACCAGGAGACATGGCCAGAGAAGGCAATTTCAAAGATCTTAAAAATATCTCTCTTTCAGGGAACACTTCTTCCTAGCTCGTTCTACAAGGCTAGCATTCCACTGACATCAAAGCCACACAGAGACACTACAAGAAAAGAAGCAGACCAATACCCCTGAAGAAGAGAGATGCAAGAATCTTCAACAAAACACTAACAAGGCCGGGCATGGTGGCTCACATCTGTAATCCCAGCACTTGGAGAGGCTGAGGTGAGCAGATTGCCTGAGCTCAAAAGTTCAAGACCAGCCCCAGCCAGACCAAGACCTCGTCTCTAAAAATAACCAGGAGTTGTGGCAGGTGCCTGTAGTCCCAGCTACTTGGGAGGCTGAGACAAGAGAATCGCTTGAGCCCAAGAATCTGAGGTTGCTGTGAGCAGTGATACCATGGCATTGTACTGAGGGCAACAAAGTGAGATGCTGTCTCAAAACAAAACAAAACAAAAATCACTAACAAATGTGTTCTTAAATTTAGGAACATATTAACAAGATCATATCCTGTGATCAAGTAGGATTTATCCCCAGAATTCAAGAACGATTGGACATCATGATTCAACAAACTCAACATACCACATTAATAACATAAAGGAAGAAAACCATGCAATCTTATCATTAGGTGCATAAAAAGCATTCGACATAATTCAATATCCTCTCATGATAAAAATTCTCTACTGTAGAAGAAATGTATCTTATTTTTTCTTAGGCAGAGTCACAAGCTGTGGCCCTGGGTGGAGTACCGTGGCGTCACAACTCACAGCAACCCCAAACTCTTGGGCTTAAGCAATTCTCTTGCCTCAGCCCCCCAAGTAACTGGGACTACGGGCGATCCCACAATGCCTGGCTACTTTTTGTTGTTGTTATCATTGTTGATTAGCAGGCTCAGGTCGGGTTTGAACCCGCCAGCCCTGGTGTATGTGCCCAATGCCCTACCCACTGCACTAGAGCCCCAAAGAAATGTATCTTAACATAATAAAGACCATGTTGAGAAGCACACAGCTAACATTATACTCCATGGTGAAAAGCTGAAGGCATTCCCTTCAAGCTCGGGAATAAGACCAGGCTGCACATTCGCACCACTTCTATTAAACCTCTATGGTACTGGAAGTGCTAGCAAGAGCAACCAGGCAAGAGACACAATAAATGGCATCCAAATCAGAAATGGAGAAGTAGAATGTCCATTTGCAGATGACATGGTCTTATATGTGGAAAATCCTAAAAACTCCACATAAGCAAAAAAAAAAAAAATTAGAACTAATGAACATATTCAGTAAAGCTGCTAGACACAAAAATGGACAAATATCAGTAGTGTTTCTAACAACGAAATACCTGAAAAGGAAATTAAGAAAACGATCCCATTTACAATAGCATGAAGAAGAATAAAATACTTTGATATAAATTTAACCAACATGTAAAATCTGTGAACTGGAAACTGTAAGACAATCATGAAGGAAATTGAAGATGACACAATTAAACAGAAAGATATCCTATGTTCATGGACGGGAAGAATTAATATTGTTACAATGTCTCCCACTGCCTGAAGCCATCCAATGAGTCAATGCAATCCCTATCAAAATTCCAAAATTCCTAAAATTCATGTGGAAGTACAAAAGTTCCCAAATAGCCAAAATAATCTTGAGAAAAGGACAAATCTGGAGACATTACATTTTCTTTTTTATCTTTTTGAAGTTTTTGGCCGGGGCCAGGCTTGAACCCACTGCCTCCAGCATATGGTGCCAGCGCCCTACTCCTCACACTTGGTGGGGTTGTGCATTGGTACAGCCACATGGAGAACAGCATGAAGATTCCGCAAAAAGTTTAAATTAGCCACTGGCTCAGTGAGTAGGGCACCAGCCCCATATACCAGAGGTGGGGGGTTCAAACCTGAACCTGGCCAAAAGCTGCAAAAAAAAAAAAAAAAGTTTAAATTAGAATTACCATATGATCCAGGAATCCCACTTCTGAATATATAACCAAAGAAAACAAAGTCAACTCTGAAACAGCCATCTGTAGTCCCATGTTTATTATCACATTATCCACAATGGTCAGGACATGGAAACAACCCAAACATCCACCCCACGTGGTAGAAATCCACAATGGAGTATTATTCAGCCGTTAAAAAGGAAATCCTGCCATTTGCGACAACATGGGTGAAACTTAAGGGCATTGTGCTAAGTGAAATAGGTCAGAGAAAGATCAATACCGCACAGTCTCACTTGTATGTGGAATCTGAAACTGTCCCACTCAGAGGAGCAGAGAGTAGAAAGGTGGCTGCCAGAAGCCGGGGGTGAGGGCGGAGGAGGAGAGATATTGCTCAGTGGGCACATAATTTTATTTATGTATTTATTTATTTAATTTTGAGACAATGTCTCAGCTTACTCTGTTGCCCAGGGTGGCATCATCGCAGTTCACAGCAACCTCAAACTCCAGAACTCAAGTGATCCTCCTCCCTCAGCCTCCTGTGTAGCTAGGACTAGAGATAGGCCCCCTCATGCCCAGCTAATTTTTAAATTTTTTGTAGAGATGAGATCTCAGACAAAAATAAGATCCTGTCACTCTTCCCAGTGCACTTGGATGTTCTCTTCCTTCTGAAGGACGCTGGGAAACGCACCCTGGGAGGCGTCCAGGCACGTAAGTGTCAGGCTTTTCCTCTGCCCTGCCAAGGTGCCGCTCCCCGTCCTGGTCCTCTGTTACAGCTCATCTGGGCATGCCCTCCAATTGTTTCCTATGTGCACATTTTTTTTCTTCCAAGAAGGTATTAAGTTCCCTGAGCACAGAAAGGAACCTCTTCATCTTATCCTTTAGTAGCAAGCTGAGCTCACAAAGTGGCTTAATAAGCACTTGCCGACTTGAATCATCTTAAATTGCCTGGTTGAGGCCAAGAGATCAGAAAACACACATGAAGTGTCACTCAGAGCAAGGGCAGGGGCTGCCTCCCCCCCCCCCCAGCAGCAGCCGGTAGATTCTCCAGCAGGAATGGAAAGGGGGGCCCTCCACGTGCAACCCCAGCCCACTGGTACTCAGGTCTGGCAGGTCTCTCTGTGGCTCAAGCTCAGACTGAACAGCAGAAATTAAGGAAAATCGGTGCTTTTCCCTGGCTCACTGACTAGGATACAGGGTCAGGGAGGCAGGGGAGATTTCAGCAGGCTCTGGTCACCCAGTGCTCCCTGGTTGCCAGAGATGGTTTTTCCCTCTACTTGTCAGTAGGTCTCTCACTTCCTCAGACCCAGGCATCGGGAGAAATTGGGGTGTCTTCGGGGGCAGGGGGTGACAATGCACTTACTATGCGGGTGGGCAGGTAGCCCTTTTGTGGCTCATAAACTAGTGACCCGGTTGTCAGGCTGGTGTGAGATGTGCCTCCCTCCACCCGCCTTACAACTTGGACACCTTACCCTTCTGATGGAGGGTTAGAGAGAAGCACACAAAACAGACAGCTTCTGACTTCCTTCCCTTGGAGGGAGGGCAGGAGAGCAGCGAGGCAAACCGGGAAATCTCGGGGAAACAGACCTCGGCCAGCTCTCAGGCCAGGGGAGGGTGAGGACAGAGCCCTCCGCGGCCACACCAGGACGAGCACGGCCACAGACCCGAGTGCATCCCACAACCCGCCCCGAGCAGGGGGCACAGAGCAGGACACCCGGCCGGCCTGGCTCACCTGAAGCAGGACGGGGAGGCGGGCGGGTCTCCTCCCCGCACCCATTGCCCGCATCTGTCGCTTGGCGAGGCGGCCTGGGGGACCCACACCCGTAGGCGCTCAGTGGGCGCTCTGGGACACTGGGGCCAGCGGCAGCCGGGAGTCTGCCCAGGAGGAATGGGTCACTTGTCAGGAGAGTAGGAGCCCTGTGCGATTTCGGCCGGACTCTCAGGTCGCTGGTGGAGGCGGGTTGTGGCGGGGGGATGAGTGCGGCTGGGGGTACCACCGCGGAGGCGATGCTGCAGCGCAGCCCGCAAAGCACAGCTGCCCACCTGTCATGCCAGGTGGCTGCAGGCGCGCCCACAGGTCGACGGAACTGGTCAGAGGAAACCTGGTCTTTTAAAAAGTGGACAGAAGGGCGGAACTGAAGTGCCAGATCAGCCTGGCCTGGCGCCCCTTCTGGTCTGCACCCCAGAATCAGGCCGATCAATCGCACGGGTCCAAAGGAGGAGCAGGAGGTCGCGAGTGCCCCGTCGGTTCAGGCGAGGCCGAGGGAGAGACCCGGAGTCCCGTCCCTCAGTGAGAATATGGCGCCGCACCGGTTTTCGTGGGGACGCGGCGGCAGCCCCTCTGCAGGGTCTACCGATCTCAGGGCCACTGGACTGGGGCCAGGATTCCAACAGAAAACTCCAAGTCAAGGCCTGCCCGACGCCCCTGGGCGCGGGAGGCTCTCGAGACGGGCCGCGTGGTGCCCGCCGACCCCAGGAAGGAGCGGCAAGGTGGCCGGTGGCTCATTCTGGCCAGATGTTTAAGACAGATGAGAAGCCAGTAGTTAAAACCCGCATTATATGGTTCTGTCGGGTATAAAACTTCACGTGCTGACCCATATATTCTAACTGGAAACGGACTCGAGTCACTTAAAATATTGCAACGTCGATAGGACTAATTAATTGGGAATAAGAAACGAAAGAATACAATTAAACGAGAAGAGAATCATTTTCTAATTTAATAGAGGAACATTTATAAAGATCACAAGCTAAAAGGCATCGAGTGATTCTATCGACATTCTATTAAATCAGCCCCGCCGTAGGGAGGAGGACCCCGGGGAGCGCAGCTGCTCCCGGCAGGGCGCGGCCCTTCCCGAGAATTCCCTCCTCCGCCCGCGCTCACGCCCGGCTACTCCCACTGCCCCAGCCCGAGAATCCTGCCTATCGGCCGGAGTCCCGGGTTCGCAGATATATTACAACAAAATTACTAATTGGAAAATGAAATTGTCAATAAAGCATCCCCCCCGCATATACAATATCCTTAAATATTAAGATATTTTATTAGGCCCATTTCCTAACAATAATTTATTGCAATAAAACAGACACCACAGGTCTCCTTAAATTGTCTTTTCATAATGAATAAATTTAAGGGGGCTAATTAATATATAAACTAGCCCAATTTGTCAAGTTGATTTGTATTTTAGTTAATTGTGAAAGTAATTACCACATGGTCAAATTAACAGCTTTCTGGAAATGACCAAGCCTGAGATTTTATTTCCTTCCTGGGTGAAGAAAATTCATTTTTCCAAGCTCTTGATGTGATGAATAAAAGTCATAAATCTGGGTGATTGGTGCAGGCAGAGTCTAAATGGCTTCATATTTCATTTTAGGTTTAATAGAAATATTCATGCTCTGTTTTAATGAAATTAAATTGAAGGGGGCTGGGGCTGGGATATGGTGGTGGCCAGGGGCTTAAAGGAACAGTGCACACTTCTCTCCTCCAACCACCAGCCAGGGCGCCAGGGTCACTCCCCCAGAGCTCCCCCACTGCAGCTACTCACCTGGAGCCCCAAACCGAGCCCCCAGCCGCAGGCCCCAGGAGGCACTGAGCAGACAGGCCCTGCCCTGGTACGGGAAGGATCCTGCCAAGTCACACCTGTCTGTAATCAGTGATCAGGCCGGGCTGCCCTAGGAGGCCCCAGTGTCCTGCCCTCTTGACCTTCCTTGCCTTGGGGAAGCACAGGAGGGATGTTCCCGTAGTGTCAGATGCAGGGTTAGGCCCCTTCCTCATACCCTTTCTGCTCCCCACTGCCCTGTGACATCTAACTGGGCCCAAACTTTGAAGGCAATAGCCCGAGGCAGAAAAGGCTCCCTTTGGCGGTAACAGAGGAAGGAAGCCTCCAGACTCAGTAACTTCCCCACAGTCATCTGTGTCATAGTGGGAGTAAGGTGGGCCCCACGCTGTCAACCACTCCTGGCAGCCCTGGGCAGGCCTAGGTCTGGGGCGTCCCTGGCCCCTTAATAGAGCTGATCTGTGACTTGTTGATTTCCCCTGAGCAAATAAGGCTTTGATGCAGTTCCAGCAAGAGCGGTTAGCTGATGAATTGACAAAAACTAATCAGCTTTATTGGGAAACAGGTTAAGGGCACGGGCGTGTCAATAACTCTCAGCCTGACCCCCTCGTCCATTAGCCCAGGCAGTCTGATTAGAGTAAGAAGACCCTCTCGCAGTTTGCTCTGAAATTGCTTTCATAAACTCACCATTATTAGCAGTCGATGTGAGCAGCTAATTTAGAGAAGACATCCCAGGCACGTCACATCTATCATCCGGGTTTATGCATCATTATCTCATTTACAGAATGTCGCAGTGTAATATGTTTTTGGCAATAGGCCTGGCCCCGCGCCTGGGCGGCCGCGCTCCCTGGCAGCACAGCCGGGACCTCCTCGAGTCCGGCCGCTGGGCCTGGAACTCCGCGTGGACGTCGGCCGGCCAGCGCACGAGCTTCCGGGCGGGAAGGGAGAGGCGGGAGCTGCCCTGCACAGGCCCGAGCGCGCCGGCGTCGGGTGAGCCCCGCTGCCAGCCCAGGGCCCACGCGGCCCCCAGCTTCGGGCAAGCCCCCGACGCGGGCCCAACCAAACGTTTTCCTCCAGCCTCGGAGCCGGCTCGTTAGCTGGGGTTCTGCGCTAGAACGCCCATCTCCCGAGCCGGGAGGCGGCGTAGGTGGGCCAGAGCGGCTGCAGAGCCTGGGCAGCGGCGGCCTCTCCCTCAGGCCGTGGCCCGCAAGGCCGCGGAGGCCTGGGTGCCCCGGGACCCCCCAATCCCCGGGAAGGTCCCTCCTGCTCTGGGCCAGCTCCCTTGACCTTTCCTCCCCTGGGTGGGCCGCTCCCCTCCCTGGCGGGGCTGTCCGGAGCCCAGATGCTCCCGAAAGCCCCCAGTGAGCCACCTGTTCCTCCGGGTAATTATTTTAATGTGAAGGGCCCAGAGTCAAGGGTTCGCGTCTTCCGCAGCGACAGACGGCGGCGGGGTGAGGAGCGCTCTGCAGCCTTTCAGTGGAATTTCCCAGATGGTCTAGGGGAGGCCGGGGCGGGTCACCAGGGGCCCTTTAACGAGTTCATTAGCCAAATTATCTTGCCCGCAGCACAGGGCCCGGGAGACCGCCGGGAGGCTGGGGCAGGGGTTGGGTCTTTTCTCCTCCCCGCTGGGGCCCTGTGCGGGAGAGGAGAGGAAAGAGCAGGGGTGCAGCTCGGCTGGACACAGACCCTCCCTGCTGCAATGTGTTCCCCAGTAGGGGCCAAGCCCGCCAAAGGCCAAGTTTGGGAGTGGGGTGGGGGGTTATTATTACTGAATCCTAATAATTGTAATATAGCGACTAACACTCGGACCTGACCCGCCACAGAACCTGTGCAGCCTGGTGCGACCTCGTGTCCTGGGCAGAGCGCTCTGAGCGCTCACAGACATGTTTGAGTACTGGGTGAGACTCAGAAGGCACAATGACCTGCCCTGAGCGGTGGGGCGTCCTGGCAGGGGTTGGGGCCCACCGGACTTGGGAGCTGGTCAGAGTCCATTTAAAATCTGCTCCCCCCACCCCTGCACACACACTTACCATGAGTGTGAAACTGGCCTCTCCACCTTGGTGCTCCTCTTGGGTAAAATACTCCCAGGTCAGGTGGTAAGGCAGGCATGGGGTCTTGACACCCCCTACCCAGGCCCAGTTTAGAAAATATGGGGGGAGAGTTAGGGAGGGAGAGAACAGCTGCCTGAGGGCGGGTGGAATAATGGGATGGATGGGGTGGGAGGACAACCAGCCAGGTCCTACTGGCAAACAGACACCCTGCCTGCTGGACCCCAAGCCTGGGATCTTAGGAACTGACAGGGCTCGGACTGTGTACCTGTCGGAAGAGGCGAACTTGACCTCAGACACCATTTGCCCTTCCTGGGGAATCCCTCACGACACCCCCAGCTCTAGAAGTGGCCTGGGAAGAGGCCCCTACTGCTGCGAGTTCACATTCTCCCCCTCCCTCCCTCACTCCCCTGGCAGCAGCTAGCTTCTGCCACCTCAGCAACTACTAAATAGACCAATTAGCTGAGACTTCCTGCCATTATCTAACATGGAGCTGGACATTAGTGCACCACTATTCAGCCATAATTTCGAGTCAGAATGCACTAAAAATTCACGCAGTGAAGCATTAAAATATTTCCAAGCAGTATTTATTTTTGTGGATTCTGCTTCTTCCCTGTGTGTTATACCCCTGTCTCCAGCAGCCTGTGGGTCAGCAGTTACAGTGCAGGCTGGGGTGGACACCAGCCCTTTGTGTGTTTGCTTGCATTGTTCCTGGATCAGAGTTGCAGGTGTCAACCAAGCAACCCTCTCCTACCTCTAGGGTAGGTGGGTGGACAGGTGGGTTAGAAACATGTGTCTGGGCACCTCCAGCAGATGTTACCTGAAGACCCACATGCTGCCTTTAGAAAGCAAGTCTTTGATTTCTAAATATTTTACGCCAGCAGGACACTGGGCGCCGGTGAAGCTGCGTGCACTGTTCTCAGTCTCCCAGGGTGGCTGTCCTCTTGCAAGACTCACCAAATGCTGCAGCTCAGATGCTAGTGTTCACTTGGAGAAGCATAATTTAGGTGGCAACATTCTGAAAAATCCCACCTGATTTATTTATTTACCTTGTTCCTCACAGTGGTATACAGAGGCCCCTGTGTAAAACTACAAAATAAAAATTTTGTAGCAAGAATACAGGTTTCTCAGGGAAGGAAGTCTTTCTAATGAGGGTTGTTGCTGCCCAATTGATTACAGAGGCTTGAACGAGCTTCCCTTCTCCCTCCCGGGGTTTCTTGTCTTTATGACCCAGGAGCTTTCACGCTGCAGAAGAGGGTGGGAAGGCATTCAGCTCCCAGTGTCAGGAGGAACCTTGGGGGCCAGCCGCTGAGCCTTGGGTGGCTGGACTCTCCCCTCATTTCAGTGTCCAGGAAAGCTGGGGGCTGGAGGAAATTTCCAAAAACAGAAGGCCCATGGGTTGCTGATTTTTACAAATTTATATCGTTCAGCATCTTTCTACATTATTACTAAGACCCCAGTTTGGGCTGTGCCTGATGGAGAGGGACCCTCACTGGCATGGCCTGGGGTAGGTAGGCTCTTGTTCCCAGCTCAGGCAGGTGTGCCAGCCAGCAGGAATGTAAAGTTAGGGAGATGGTGCCCTCTAAAAAGGCAATACAAAATTCAGGTGTGCAGGAGGGGCTGAGAAGAGGGGCCGAGGGGAAGGCACTGCAGACATGGGCTCACTTCCACCATGGGTTTGGGGTTCTTTAGGGCTGCCACCTCTTGAGCCCCACCTTTCCAGACTCCTCTAAAGGCCAGGATCCTGGGTTGGGGAGGAGGTCATGGTCATCCGATCAAAGCACAGCTTTCACAATTTGCTACCTTTGGCCCTCAAGGCTCTGCAGGGGCTGGGCGGGTGGAGGGACCCAAGAATACCCCTCCGCTCACCTTCCAGTGACCCCATTTTTTCTCCCCATCTCCCTAGCTGGCACACTGCTCCCCTGGTGATCCTGACAACCTGGGAAGGAGGCTGAAGCATCGCCAACCGACAACTGGGTTCTAGTGCTGGCCCTCTGGCCCCCCACTCCATGGCCTAAGCAAGCTACTTCCTGAGCCAGGAGCAGGTGCCACTGTCCACTGTCACCATGTGCTTAGCTCCAGACCTCTGATCACACAGCACTCTTGGGCCTCAGTTTCCCAAGGGAAGGATACCTTAAAAGGTTTCCTTGCTGGGGGGGTGCATGGTTTCAGCAGGGCTCCGACTGATCTGAACAGCCCCTCTTAAGTTTGTTAGACCCGAGTTTCAGTTCTGGAAACTTCAAGTTCTGGGAAAAGTGGGAGGTATGAACAGAAGGATGTGCCAAGGAAAATTCTGCACTGGGCTTCAGGCACCAACACCCCCACAAGTTTGCCTGCGTGTTAACTCCATTGTACCTGTCCTATTTCACATGGAATAAAGCAATATATAAATGATAAATAAGTGAACGACAGCTGTCTTTCATTTTCTGAACATGTGAATATTTAGGGTTTATTCCTAATGTGCTGAGTGCACCAGGCCCTCCCTGCTTTTCTTGGGGGAATTAAGAGTCCTCCTTACTCTCTCTTGCTGGATTCCCCCCTGCGCTGGGAGTGAGGAGTTACCTAGAGACCTAGATTGGGAGGACCTCTAGGATCAGACCTTTGATCTCTCCTTGTGGCCTTTCCCAAGACCCAAGCCTGGCTCCTGTCTGCCCCCAAGCCAGCTGGGCTGGGTCAACACAGATACTAGGACAGGAAGAGACACAGCAAGCTCTGTTCACACGTCATAAACCACACAAAGGCCCCCAACTTCCCTGAGAGCCCCTTTCTTTCCCCGCCTCTTACCACACAACTTTACAGAGAACCTCCGATTTATATGAACCTATTCTTAAATATAAATAGAATATTTATATTATCTTCTTTTAAACAGCACCCAGAGTGCATTTTGTCTAACCCCTACTTTCTCTACAGGGTAGAAACAAATCTGCTAAGATAAGGAGCTTCAGATGTCGGAAGCCGCTGCAGGTGGAGGACAGCTCTGCTCAGCCCACAGGTGGCACCCAGTGGACCTGTGGCACAGCTGTCTGTTCTCAGGGAGAGTAGAAGCTTGGGGGTGGTGTGACGGGAGTTTGAGAGCATTGTTACCTTAGAACAAAAAGGGGGTGCAGTCCAGTAGGAGTTAAAGAAAAACACAACGATTTTGTTGAGGAAAGTGGAGTAATTTTACTGAATCTAGACCATACACCCCAATGCCAACTAAATACCCCTGGAAGTGCTTGTTTTAGGTCAGAGAGAGCAGCAGCAGGTTCTTGGAGACCCATCCTGGGATATTTCTTTGGCAGCCATTGCCTTCCCTCAGCTTCCTCACTCATCGCTCTGGGACCAAGCACCCAGAGCTACTGGGGGTGATGAAATGCAGGAAAAGGCAAGTGAGCCGTAGCCAGCCCTGGGAGGAGGGAGCCTGGGCAGCGGGGTCTCAGCAGGGCTTCCTGCCCAGGACCAGGTTGCTGAGAATCTCAGGTCTCCTCTTGAAATCCTCCTTCTCCCAAGAGAACAGACTGGATGAGGCCTTGGTGTTAGGCACATCAGAGTGGGGTCTGTGTGGCCCTGCATTCAGGCCTGGTCTCAGTCCAAACTCTGGGCTTTTCTGTCTTTGGGGACACCAAGGTCATCCTCCTTGAATCTGTACTCTAGAAAATGGCAATAAAAATCCTCAGATTGTCACGGTGAAGATTAAGGAAGATAATTCTGGAAAGCTTGTAGCACATAGTAGGTGTTCAAGAAATATGAGCCTTTCCCTCTCCCAGTCAGAGGCAGAAATGCAGTTTTTAATCACCCCAGAGAGAAATCACACAAAGGGGATGGAAGTCCATGTAAAGGCTGTGATTTCTGTTTACTAGTTAATCAGCTTTTTCAAAGCGATATGACATTTATTCCAAGTCGCTGTTGCTTCGCCACTGTACCCTCCCAAGCTTCCAACAGACACTGTGTGTCCCAGAGCCATTCTGTGTCGTAATGAAAAAGAACCAGAGTCCCTGTGAGCAGCCTTCGCCTGGGAGCAAGCCATTGAGGAGAAACCACACCGTCCCTGTATTCGGCTTTGAGATTATCCCTCTTGTGGCAACTATGCTGCTAATTTTAAAGTTTACCTGGCACTGATTTTCCCTTTGGCCCTCTAGTCTGCCCACAGCCCCTTCCTGTCCTTTATTCACCTCTCACCTGCATAGGAAGCCCTGGCTCCACCGCCAAACTTTCCTCCTCAGCCTGCTCGCCTGCTCCGGCGGTAACTGCGCTAATGGAGCTGTTGACAAAGCCTGCTGTTAGGGGCCGCTTGACTTTTTGGCCTGTGTGTTGATTCTTTCGGCTTCAAAAAAGTCCTTGGAAGTGCTTTTACTGTAAATATTTGAGGTGCGTGCATGGGGGCGGGGGAGCAGCGAGGCTGGACGCTGGGTCCCGGGAACCCCGGACACCCACGGCAGCAGCAGAGACGCCTTTCCCTCCATGCCGACTGGCCATCCCGGCAGTGAGGAGGAGCCTTGTCGCCCAGGACGCGCTCAGTGGCACCTTGGTATGGTCTCCAAGCCGACTGTGTGTCCTGCAGGTCGAGGGCACGCAGACTCTGCCCGTGAGCCGGGCACTCCCGCCCGCACGCGCAATTACACCTCCTTTCCAGCCAATGCAGGGAAGCTCGACCCTCAAAATCTGGCTAGCAGAGGTTCTCAACCTGTGGGTCGCGACCCCTCTGTAACAATGAAAATACATCCTGCATATCAGATATTTACATTACGATTCATAACAGTAGCAAGATTACAGTTATGAAGTAGCAACGAAAGTAATTTTATGGTTAGGAGTCACCACAACATGCATTAGGAGGCATTAGGAAGGTTGAGAACCACTGGCAGGGACACAAACCGCCCCCGCTGCACCCTGGAGTCTCGGGAGAAGAGGGCTGGAAAGCAGTGATTTGCAGAGCGGTCAGGCCTGGGAGCGGCGTGGGCACTTGAAAGCGTGAAACGAACCGGCTCCCGCAGGCAGAAGTGGACAAACTCAAGTGCTGACGAGCGGGCGGGAGGGGACGCTGGTGCAGGCCATAGTAGACGCAAGCCTGGAGCCGGACAAGGTGTCTCAGGAGTGGGACTCGGGCAGCCGTGGGGCTTTCCAGCGAACCAGGGGTTCCCAGAGCCTGGGGGGGGGGGGGGGCGAGGCAGGTACCCTAAGTTGAGGCTCCGAGTCTTCCAAGCCCAGAAGCTGTCCCCGCCAGGCCACACCAGCTCAACACAGCGAGCTGTTTAGGACCTTGCGGCGCAGGGGCGGGACAGCCGGAGGCCCGCACGGTGACAGGTGCGCCCTTCCGCCAATGGTGGAGCCGCCGCCCCTCCCCGAGCCCCCGCTGCGCGCGCCAATCGGAGGGCGCGCTGCGCTTCAAGTGTGCGGAGGGGCGCGGGTCCCCACCACGGCGCCAGCGGCCTCGGCGCGGTCGCTGAGGGCTTGAGCGCAGAGACGGGCTCCTCGGCCCAGACGCGCGGAAGCGCACGCGTGGGAGTTTGTGCGCGTGTGAGCGCGGCCCGGGACGGGCCGCACGGAGGAGACGCCCGGACCATGCTCACCCTGGACTGAGTTTCCGGCGGCGACTTTGATTATTGGCAAATAATCACAATACAATACCAAGCCCCCGGGGCTTCCCACCGCCAGGCACAGACTCTAGGAACCGGCACACGGCCGCGTCACCCACCACCGGGCCCTGATCGCCAGTCCAAAACGAGCCGATGGAAAAATCAAAAAATTTTCGCATCGACGCCCTGCTGGCGGTGGATCCCCCGCGAGGCGCCTCTGCGCAGAGCGCGCCGCTGGCCTTGGTCACGTCGCTTGCGGCCGCTGCATCTGGCCCGGGCGGTGGCGGCAGCGGGGGTGCCAGCGGCAGCTGCAGCCCGGCG